AGCTCTCAGTTGACCTGGCATGGTGGGCTTCCACTTCTGAATAACAGAGAAGACATTCTCAAAGGTGGGCCCATTTAGGGTTTTTTGTTTTAAACATTACCTAATCTGTTTCATCGTTGTGGTTTTGAATTATTTTGTTTCTGCTCTGGCCCCACTATCTGGGTGACTTTCTTTCCTGAGTCAGCAAGGGGCTAATGATAAAAGCCATCATAATTATTTAATCATGATCCCCTTTTAACTCCAAAATGGCACTGTGCTGAACTGAAAAGCTTTTCTGATTAAGTATCTACTAAATACCATATTTCATTTATAATGCTCACCTTTGTATGCAAGGAAAGTAGATGTCACAGCTCCAGAATGGGCTCAAAACCATTTTATCTGATTAGTTATTCTGATAAAGACTTGATTCCCATAATAAATTGGACATAATGGAGAATACATTCATGAAAAGAGTGGGTAGATACATTTTTGCACAGAGTTTAATTTTCCAATTGTGAAAGTCAGAGAATACAAAGTAAGTTTTCGTGAACTGTATTACTTTCTCATGCTTTTTACATTCCTATGATATAGTGAAAGTTATTTTATTGCATGAATGCAAAATTAATGTCAAAATAATGAGGTTGCATTGAGGCTTACAGCAGGAAAACCAAGGAACTCAAATGATTTTTTCCTATCCTGTTAATTCTGGCCATAGCACCTAAAGTGCCCCATACCCTCCTGCCAGTCAGCTGTGAGAAAAAGGTGGCTGGAAATAGTGAGGAATCAGAGAAAAAAAGGTAAGATTGTGAAGTCGAGTTAAAGTTACCTAAGAGTATCCTGAGTTCCCCTCCTCTCTCACTATCACCTTTACCTTCCAACTTGGAGTTAATTGCTTAAAAGAATAAAATTTTGATAAGTTCAATAGGAAATTCAAGTTTTTCATATTAATTTTTTTATCATATTAATATTTGCATGTAGTTAAAATGCAAATGATATAAAGCCTCATATAGCAGTCTAAATTGGGTCAAAAATTTCAATTGGGTAGAATATAGGGTTGCAGTATTGTAAACTTAACATAATTGGGGTGAATCTAGTTCAGAACCCATCACCAATTTCTTCGGTTATACTGAAATTCATAATATTGTGAGGTGTATGGTCAAGGGGTTTTCCTGAAGTTCTAAATGTCATAATTAAAAGTGGAAATTTCCCTCTCACCTTTTCATACTTCCCCAGCCATAATCTGCTTCAATATTTTGTACTCTTCCTACTGGTATTGACATTTTTAGATAATAATTCAGATAATTCTAATAGACTTATAGGGATCTGCAAGAGAGGCATTTAATTTTGATTAATGGCATAATGTATAGATAATTTGTATTTTTAGATAATATTTTGGAATAACTAAAGAGAGTTATCTGGTTGTGATATCTGAATATTATTTGCTGAACAGTTAAGTAGTATACTACAATTATGGTTTCTTTCTTGTATAATTTTTAATTAAATTTACTTATTCAGTTTTTCATATGTTTATCCTCAATTCTTTCCACACACACCATCGGATCTTTCATATATCAATTTATTTTCCAAATGCTCAAATATATCAGACTATCATCTATCTATAATGTAAATTTAAGCTTACCTTTAGTAGCAATTAATTAATATTAGATTTGCTGTACTCTGTTGTTATAACTCCCCCCGCCCCCAAACTGAGTCAGAAAACAACAGGGACTAGTCAATTTTAGAGTTTTATTCCATTAAATGACTGGGAAAAGTTCATTGCTTAATGTGTATTTTAACTACCTTAGACTATTATTTTAATTTTTGAAATTAGAATAAAAATAAAATTTTACTCTTGAAAGAGACTTCATTCATTCACTTATTTATTTTTTTAACAGATGTATTCAACAGATTTTTAAAACACTTATTCAACAGCTTTTCATTTAGCAAAATGGCAGTTTCATGTGATTCAAATTAATGCTGTGAGTCTGGCACTCTGCTAGGCACTTGGTCATAACAGTTTTATTCAGTCTCTCACTTTACACAGGGGAAGGAAAAACAAAGCTGTCTATTGATAAAGATTATTTATATTAAGAACAATAAAGAGTAATGCATTTCTAAGAGCTAAACAAAAATACAATTGTTAGTGTACGCATTAGAGGTTTACTTTCTGCAGCGTTATAGTTCCAAAGGCATTTCCTGATACTTTACTGTTCTAAATTTGAGCATGTTGCTGAAGTCCTATGTGATAGGTACTTAAGAGATGAAAAGAAAAAA